GGGTGAGGCATGTGTGCCAAAGTAATAAGTCCTGCGCTGGAGTCCACTGACCTAGGTTGGAGCCCCAACTCTGCCACTTCCTAACTCAGTGTTTAGGAGACTTATTGAACCGAAGAAATCACATTTCTCTCAATTATTAAGATGGAATAATACCTTGGAGTATTATTATGAAAATTCATTAAAATAATAGATCTGAAAGTGCTCTGTGAACCGTGATGTATACATAGTTTAGTATTAACTGACTACTGGTGACTTAGCCTTCAGTGCATATGAGCAGAGAGCAATTAGATAATTGCAGCATGGTTGAAAAGAAGTCTATGTGATGGATATAAAATAGGCAGCCTGATTTTCCATTTCAGATACATTGCCTAGTTAGTGAAAGAGGGACCAGATGTAATCTGTTTTTTTTTTTTAATATTTATTTTTTTTGGTTAGACACAATACTTTATTTTGTTTATTTATTTATTTTTATGTGGTGTTGAGGATCTAACCCAGGGCCTCGCGCATGCTAGGCAAGCGCTCTACTGCTGAGTCACAACCCCACCCCAGATGCAATCTTGATAGAAATTTTGACTGTTAGGTTACAAAACCTAACATGTAGGTTTTGTAGGGTTATGTAGGGTTAATTTAATGTTCTTCTACTTAAAATGTGAATATCACTTTCAATTAGTACATTTAACATGCAAGTAGAGGGTTATTAGAAAATTTGTTCCAGATGATATTCCATACTTTATGAACATTATTTCATTTAATCCTCATTGCAACTTTTGTTTAAGTTAATATTAATCATACAGAATAATAGGTTTTGTCATGGCAAATTCATGTATGCATAGGATATACTTTGATCATTTCTACCCCCCATTTCTACTTTACCTCCCTTTCATGTAATATTTTCTCCTCCTTAGATTTCACATATAAAACATGTGATACTTCTCTGAGTCTGGCTTATTTCATTTAACATGATGCTCTCCAGTTTATCCATTTTCCTGTAAATGATATGATTTTGCTTTTCTTATTTCTGAATAATACTCTGTTGTATATGTATCCATTCATCAGTTGATGGGAACCTAAGCTGATTCCGTAAGTTGGCTACCATGAATTGAGTCACAATAAACATGGATATACAGGTATCTCTACAGTATGCTGCTTTAATTCCTTCAGGTATATATGGGGGAGTGGTAGACCTGGATCATATGTTAGTTCTATTTTTAGGTTTTTTTAAAAAATATATGTATTTTTTAGTTGTCGATGGACCTCTATTTTAATCATTTACTTATATGTGGTGCTGAGAATCGAACTCAGTGCCTCACACATGCCAGGCAAGTGCTCTACCCACTGAGCACAACCCCAGTCCCTATTTGTAGTTTTTTGAGGACCCTCCATACTGAGTTTCATAGTGCCTACACCAATTCACCCTCCACCAACAGTGTATACTGGTCCCCTGCCCTGGCTCCCACCTGTATACTCAGCAGCATTTGTTTTTAGTATTCTTGATGGTGGCTATTCTGACTGGGGTGAGATGGAATCGCAGCACAGTTTTGATTTGCATTTCTCTGGGCTAAATATGTTGTACATTTTTTTCATGTAATTATTGCCCATTCATAGTGTTTTTGAGAAATGTCTGTTCAATTCATTTGTCCATTTATTGATATTTTTTTGTGGTTGTTTGTTTTTTGGTGTTTTTTTGAGRTCTTTATATATTCTGGTATTCATCGTCTATCAGAAGAGTTACCTGGSAAAGACTTTTCTTCTATTCTGTAGTCTTTCACTTTACTCAGTTGATTCCTTTGCTGTGCAGAAGGTTTCCATTTTAATGCAATTCCATTTGTTAAGTCTTGCTATTATTTCCTCAGCTATTGGAGTCTTACTTACAAAGTTGCTGCCTGTGTTTATATCTTAAAATGTCTCTCCTATGTTTTCTTCTAGTAGTTTCAAAGTTTTAGATCTTATACTTAGGTCTTATTTTACAAAATAATTATAAAAATTTTCTAGTAACATGCTGCACGTCAAATGTACTAATTGAAAGTGACATTCATATTTTAAGTAGAACATTAAATTAACATTACATAATTCAAGTATCACATTAAAGGTGGATGACTAGAGGAACTCTAGACAAAAATATTCTTTTTCAAATCAACCCATTCTGAATTTATTTTTGTACAGGGTGAGACATAAAAACCCAGTTTCAATCTAGGATGATACTCTTCCTATCTTTTCCCCCCTCTTTGGTACTGGGGATTTAACCCAGGGGCACTTTAACCACTGAACTACATCCCCAGCCTCCCTTTTTTTTAATTTTAAAATTTGAGACAAGGTCTTGTTAAGTTATTTAGGGCTTTGCTAAGTTGCTGAGGTTGGCCTGGAACATGCAATCCTCTTGAATCAGCCTCCAGAGTCACTGGGATTATAGGCATACACCACCATACCTGGCTAGGATTCAAGTCAAAGAGTATGAAAAAGAAATGTATTCTCCATATGTCAAATCACTGCTGATCCATTGACTGTGGCGTTTACATTGATTAATATATAGATGATCCTCGTCTTACAAACAGGTTATGACTCAATAAACCCATAGTAACTTGAAAGCATTGTTAAATTGAAAATGCATTTAATATACCTAACCTATTACACATCATAGCTTAACCTACTCTCCCTTAAACATTCTCATGTCACTTATATTAATTAGCTTACAGTGGACAAAATTAACATCAAGCCTATTTTATAATAAAACACAGAATATCTCACGTAATTTATTGAACACTGTACTGAAAGTGAAGAAATGAAATGGTTGCATGAATGCGCTTTTGTACTATAACAAAGTTGAAACATTCAAGTAAAACATTTTAAGTTTGGGACAATCTATACTGTACAATTAATACAAAGAAAAAGGAATTGGAAAGTTCACTCTATACAACAGTGAGCTGAACACCTATAGAGAATTAGTTTTTGAAAGTGTAACTTTCTTGAAGTTACACAAGAGAAATTAGAGTGTTTTTCATAGCATCCAGAAACCAACTGGTGATGTCAAAGTGGGTGATATTAGCATTGTTCACCAAAATCCCCACTTCTCCTGAACTCGGTTCAAGGATTCAGTCTCCCCGCAGATGTGTGGGACTGTGTAAGTAGTTCTGGGCAAAGAAATATGATTGATGATCTGTTTCCCCTCCAAGTTAGGGCTCTGAAAAGTTCATAGAGACCTTCAGTCATTTTCTTTTTTTGCCATAGAAAATGAGTTGCTGTGTTCCTGGTGATAGAGCTATAAGATAGCAGAGTCTGTCAATCTACCTCCTGAAGGGATTGGAACACTCTTTCCCATAAGGAGCGAGAAGCATGAATAAACTTTTTTGTTGTGTTAAGGCATGTCCATTATGGCAATGTCTGTTACTATACATCATAATATAAACTTTTCCTGGTTAATATAGTTAGGGAAGATCTCTTACCCAAACACGTGCTACTATCAGAACCAAGTGTTCGAGTAAGAGATATAATAAGTTCCATTAATTTGTCAGTAGTGTCTTTCATATTAAGGATGTTAGCCTGAGGTCTAGCTTTTTAATCACATTTAATTCAGATATCCCATAAGTTTTCCATTTTCCACTAATTCTCCCGTGAATCTTTTTTAAGTACTATATTAACTTTAATACATAAAATTCCTGTGCTTTCTACAAATGATCACTTTTCAAAATCAATTGAATTGCTTAATCTAACCACACATTGTAATTTTTTCAAACATTTTAACTAGTGCAAAAGGTCCTAAATTATGAACATGCTGTCTTCCTTTGATTGAATTACACAAACAGTCATCTCGAGTAAAGAAAGAAGATGCTTCCACAACTGTACTGTCTCTACAAAGTGGACTCTCACAATAAGGGAAAAGCAGAGATTCATGATTATTTTGATTTTATATTCACATCTGAGGAACAGCTTAAGCTTGAAGGGTTTGTAAATTCAGAAAATAGTCATTTCTTATTTAAAACTATGAATAGTAAGGGAGAGTTTTTTCAAGCCACTAAAAAAGAATAATGCTTTGGTCTTGTTTACTTTAGTAGCTATTAGGAAGCATAAATAATGTGTTGTCTTTAATATTTTAATGCCTGTCCTCTTTTTTCCCACCTATCCAAGGCTGTCAAAGACCAACTCAAATCCCAGCTCCTCAAGAAATTGTCCCTGAGCACATCAGCTGGGATTGATATGCCTTTTTAAATTCCTATGAAAATTCATATCATTTATTTGGAATTGCTTACCTAGAGTTTTAAAGAGTTCAGGAGCTGGACAAGACCTTAGAATCATTTAACACAATTTCTTATTTTGCAAAAGAGGAAAACAAAGTCCAGAGAAGTTATGTAATCCACCTAAACCACATAGTTATTGGAGGCTATAAACCGGTTTGCTGAATTCTTTGTGCAAGTCCATTCCTTGTTGTCACAAGTGCCTTCACATTCATCATATTCATCGTCTGGTATTGTTGGTTATCTTTTCCAGATAAATGACATCTCACTGATGGTACATCTTTAAGTTAGGCAAATCTTTCACTTCTTTGTTATTACGTCTTCAGCTCATAATTTATATCCATTAAGCAAAAATTTCCCATAGGCTGTGTTTTAGGTAGTTATTACATCTATTTAAGCTATTATTTCTTGCATTCTCAAGTTCAGAAGACAATGCAGCAGAGGAAAGGGCCAAGAAGTAGAAATAACACAGCAGCAAGGTCTAACAGTAAGAGCCCTGATGAGAACGACCAGAATGCTAACAGACGTCCAACAACATACTTTTAGAGTTGAAGGCCACTTTTTCCCCCGAAATAATTAGATCTTGCAGGTTTACTCTGCAAGGATGAAAAGCGTGTGTGTGTCCAGGGGACTCCAGGGTGCCGGGAGTTCAGGTGAAGTCGTGGAGGTGAACACCCAACGAGGATTTCTACCGGTGGGACGGGTGTACCAAGACCAAGTCTGAGCCTGAACCCCAACAGCGGACCAGGGAGGCGCACCAGGTGTACCGAGCTAGGGATGAGAACTCGGAGAGAGTGCACACTGAGGACAAGGTGGCGCCGCCGTCACCAGGCGTAGCCCTGGGGCTGCGACGGGCCGCGGGGGGCGCCGGGGGCGGGGGGGGGGGGCGCGGGGGCGGGGCCTGGAGGCGGGGGCGGGGCGCCGACCGGGGCGGGGCGCGGCGCCCAGGCCGTCCTGGCCAGCACGCGGCGGCGCCCCCTCCCCTCGCGCCGCGGGCCTCCCCGCGCCGTGCACGTCCCCGTCCCGCGCCTCCGCCTCCTCCCTCACTCGCTTCTTCCCGCCCTCCCCGTAGCGCCGGCCGAGCCGGCTTCCCCTCCGTCTCTCATGAATATTGAGCGGCCCCTGTTGTATTTCCCGAGCTCCATTGCGGAAGCCGAGGCTCGCCATATTGTGCGGCGGCGCCGGCGGCCGCGGCGGCTGATACCTGAGTCTCGCTCCGGCCGCGGCCAGCGGAGCCCCGGGCTGGGGTAGGAGCCGGTGAGTGGGGCGGGCGGCGAGGCGAAGGGCGCGGGAGCGGCGGGCTGGGACGCGCGTCCGCTCGGCCGGGTGCCGGCGCTTGACGGCGGCCCCGCGCCCGGAAGGGGGGGGTGTGTGTCCGCGGGGGCGTGAGGGGAGATGGCGCCGCCGCCCCCGGTCGTGCTGGCCTCGGGGATGGCGGGGGAGGCGGCTTCTCATTGTTCGCGTTTCTTCGAGAGTCCTGGGGAGGGGGTGAACCCGCTGCGGAGGACCGGTTGGGCGAAKCGCAGGGGCTCCTGCTCTCGCGGCGAGCCCTCGCTCAGCGCGGCGGCCGGGCTGCGGTGCGGCCCCTGCCTCCGGGGCGGGCGCCCAGCCTCCCTGCGGCCCGGCTCCGGAGGCGGGCGGAGTGGAATGCGGGTTTTTTCTTCGGGCTTTCCCCTCGCCTCCGCGGTCTTGTGTCTGCACCGTGGGGGTGGGGTAGGGGCACTTTGCGCAAACCACCCGTTTTCCCCMCGGGGGCCTGGAGTCGGGGTTCTTGTGCGCCGGAGCTGCTCCGGGTCGGGGCTCCCTGTAGGCTGCGGGGAGACCCCGCCGGGCCCCACACATTCCTGGAGTGCCGCCCCCTGCTCCGGAATATCTGTTGCTGCTTTCCAAAGCCGCGAGCTTGCCCGGAGGAGCCGTGGGGGGAGGGGGTGTCTCGGGGTTTCTGATGGAAGCTTCGCGTTTTGAACCCTGTGGTTTCTGCTGAGATCCTGGGTACACTGTCGCCTGGGAGCTGTCGTCCTGGTTGTCAGGATCGTTTCCCTCCTGCCCAAGTCGCTTTCCAGCTCCCAGAGATGGTGTTAGTAAAATGGGTCTTTCAAACTTTTGAGGTTCATTCGGCTTATTTGCCCACCAAGACCAATTCTAGGTTCTTCTCCTGAAAACCCCTGTGGGCATCTTTTAGGAGGTCGTCGGAAGTTTTACCTGTGTGTCTTACGTTGTAATGTGGCTTAAAAATGCCAGGTTTCTTTGAGGTGTTTGAAGAAATTTGCTGTGGAAAGGTTAAATATGCACCCAGSGTTTTAGGAATACGCTGTTATTTTGAAAATTAAAAATCAAGCCGTGGCTTCAATATTTTAAACTGAGTATTATATTTAAAACGAATGTATGAGCAATTTGCATTACATAACCTATTTTTGGTACCTCCAGAATTATCTAGTAGAATACTTACTGTAATTGGTAGATAATCCGATTTGAATTAGGTGTAATTGTTGAGTTTTTAAAATAATTTATATTGATATGTTAGATATTGGTTCTTAAAGTGAAACCAGATCCTTGGATTTATAAAGTATTTAAGTGGCAGTACTGTGACTCTTTGATATTCCTTTTTCTGCCTGAAATTTCTGATTGTCACAATCAACAGGTATCTTAAAATCTTGATTATGCACTTAATCAACTTTTTTAGTAAAATAATGGATAGTTATATTAGACTTCCTTTTTCCAGTGATAGCACAGCAAATATGATCCCTTACTTTTTCTAAGGACTTCAGTTATTTCTTTCCCTCAGGTACCCTTGTGGAATCCACGCTTGAGATTAATTATAGATGAAAAATAAAATGGTGACTTTAAGAAGGAAAACTGCCTGAGTCAGCCTACTTCGTTTGAGTATTTGAAAAATAGGCTAAGGCTCCTCAAATGTGCCGCACAAAAAAATTTCAAATAAGAATCACTAACATATGTAGACAGTGCAGACGTCAAATACTGGGAATTTTGAGTTTTTCTTTGCTTGTGTCAAAAGCACTCAAAACGCCCAGGTTTGAGGGGATATAAATATGGACCAGGCCAGCACACGTGATTGGAATTTCATTTTTCTGTTACTGACCTTCGGTTTGTCATCTCAGGTTTCTTTCTTTAATCTGATTTACTCATGATTTGTAATTCAGCAGTTTTTGGAATAATGGTGTGATATATGCCTAATGAATAATACACAACCAGATGTTTCAGTGACAGTTTAATTTCTGTACATTAGTAAAGAAGTGTAACTCCTTCCAGCAAGAGAAATGAGTTAACATTAAAATATACTTTATCAAAATTCTGTCAGTGTTTCTAGTGTAACTTAAAGCACTTCATAGTTTTGAAGTGACTCATTTATTGAAATTCTGAGAAATTAAAAATTTACCTCTATTTGCTGTTTTTTAAAAAAGGACAGATACTTGTGGGATTATGTATACATTCTGCACACATACAAATTTACAAATGACTTTTAATTGGTGGTGTTTKTTACATGCCCTGTGGAAGGCAGACATTGTTATCACACTGTCTGATTTCTTGGTTTTTTTTTTTTTTTTAAATCTTAACTGTCAGTAACTTACTGACTTAATTTGCATTTAACTGAGAGGTATTTTTTGGTGTACAAAAAGTACAGTACCTGTTTCCCAATCTGTTCTCTACAGGTCTAAAGATCCTTACATGACCCTTCTACCTAATGTGTTCACTGAATCTTTTGGTATTTATTGCGGAGAGTTTGGTGGTTTTACATAGATATTCTTACTGTGGTAATAGGACCCTTGACATTTAAGTAGAAACTAACTTTACTTTGTTCATAGATGGGAGTTGGATGATGAGTTCCTGAATGTAGATGCTAAAAGGGTAGATGACTCATTATCCAGTTCTATACTATGTGGAGGAACTCCAGTAGAACTAGCCATGTTCTCAGTTTTTCTTTTGCCTTGTGGGTGTTGGGCTACTGAAGTGGACTTGTATGACTGGGCCTAGTGGTGTGTCTTGTTGGATGCTCAGCAGTTACCTATGTTATCAAAAATTCATTGCTTAAAATTTGCATCTCCCATTTCATTTGAGAGTGAATTAACAACCGGTTTGCTGCTTTGGCATGTCTGCCATTTGTCAGATGTATAAAAATATTTATTAAATATAATAGTGAAAAGGGACTTAAAAAATTAACCTCATATTAAATTGCCTAATTTGGACATTTTTCAGTGAAATTTTAATGGCCAAGTGAAAAACGTGGACTCTCCTGCAAAGGTGCTTCTTTCTTTCATTTTTTCCTCCTCTTTCTATACTATAGAGCAAAATAGAATTCCACTAGTTGTATTTTATGATGATGTTACATTCCAAAGTCAACCTGTAAAATGGAAATCATACGTAGTGAAAAAAAAAATTATGTTTGAGACTGGGAGTGTAGTTCATTGGTAGAGCTAATATATTCTCCAGCACAAAACAAAATGAAAAATACTTGAGAATAGGAAGGCAGAATTTACCAGTAAGTTCAGCTTAGCTTTAATGTTGCAGGAAATTGCTGTTTCTTTCCTTGAACACTAGCTGAAATAGTTAGGAGCATGTTGAACAATAACAAAACAAACCTCCCCTCAAAAACCTATTCTTTTTTGTGGTGGGGACATACCAGGGATTGAATTCAGGACACTTAACCACTGTGCCATATCCCCAGCCCTATTTTTTGTATTTTTATTTAGGGACGGTCTCGCTGAATTGCTTAGCACCTCACTGTTGCTGATGGTGGCTTTGAACCTCAGGATCCTCCTGTCTCAGTCTCCTGAGCCACCACTGTGCCTGGCCAAAACCCAGTCTTTTTAAAATACAAGAATCAGCATGGTCTCTCACCACACTATGAGAGGCACATGGGGACTGACAATACCTCATCTCACATTATCTCTAGGATATGTGTCATAGTAAAAGGAATACGGTATGTTGGTGTCCTTGGGCTAGCCTACATTATTTATAATATTTCTCACCCCCCCCCAAAGCTGAATAAGAAACCACAAAGTAAATTAAATCACAAAAGTGGTTTTTTTATGCTTCAGCTTAAAAGARGGTTCCAGGCTAACCTTTATAAGATGGATTTTATCTATAACCCCACGTTTTGTTTCCTCTTCAGTGAAGCAGCAAAATATCTGGAGKAGAGTAGTTAGAATCACTGTGTTTATTTTATTTTATTATTATTTTTTGGTACTGAGGATTGAACCCAGGGGTGCTCAACCACTGAGCCACATCCTCAGCCCTTTTTTATATTTTATTTAGAGACAGGGTCTTGCTGAGTTGCTAAGTGCCATGCCAAGTTGCTAAGGCTGACTTTGAACTTGCAATCCTCCTGCCTCAGCCTCCTGAGTTGCTGGGATTACAGGCCTGCACACCACCGCACCTGGCCTACTGTGTTTATTATGTATTGAGAAAACAGAAACTTGACTAAGAATAACAGAGGATTTAATGTAGGGGGTTGATTAGATGGACATAAGAGCTAAAAGGGAACATTACAGTAATAGGAACCTAAGACCCTCTGAGAAAGGTTCCATGGACCTGGTGCTGAATTTTTGGAAAGGTTAGCATTGTTTAGCTGTTAGTGACTATGAAGGCATGTGATATGGTTGGTTCTGGAAGTACCAAAAGAAGCTGGAGGCTAGAACCAGTTGCTGCTGCCAGGGCCAGGGACCGTCATTGCCACTGACAGGAACTAGAAGGAAGTCCGAAATTCCTGTTTTCCAGTCTCCACTTGCTACCCTGGTTGGCAAAATCTGGCAGAAGAGATGGTGAAATATAGTTGCATAGTCTCAGCCTAAGCATCATAAAGCACCTTAGAAGGGTAATTTAAGAGTTGAGAAATGAATAAATGACCTGCATAAATAGTGTTAAATGTAATAATTTAAATTTTTAACTCTGTCCTTAGTTTGACTTTCAAAAAAAAAATTTATTGATTATGTTCTGTGTGCCAGACTCTCTCACAAGGTTTTAGGAATAGAAAAATGAATCAAATTAGGTTTTTATTCTTAAGGAATTTAGTCTAAGTGGCCATGACAAATAAACTACTGTACAGTGTGTTAAATGCAATAACAGATGAATGATGTGTTTTGGAAACCCAAAAGACATAGTAACCAATTTGCTTTTTCTGTTTCTAGCCAAATTTAATGACTAGTACAATTTCTTTTTTTATCTATACATGATCAAATCTAACTTTATTCTTTTTTAAATTTTTTGGGGGGTACTGGGGTTTGAACCCAGGGGTGCTCAACCACTGAGCCACATCTCCAGCCCTTTTTATTTTTTACTTTGAGACAGGGCCTCACTAAGTTGATTAGGGCCTAGCTAAATTKCTGAGGCTGATTAGAACTTGCAGTCCTCCTGCCTCAGCCTCCCAGATCGATGGGATTACAGGTGTGTGCCACTAGCCCAGCTCTCATATTATTCTGTGTTCAGCTCAACTCCTCTGAAAGCTATTTTTCTAAGATTTCTCAATTTTGTCACATAATCATAACCATCATTGAACATTTTTCAGTACTTTTCATCTTAATTAAAGACTATCACTTTATGCACTTTCATCTTATCCTAGTATTGTGTATGTAGATACTTGAGAAATTTGCTTTTTYACTGAACAAGGAAAATAAAATCTTATAGACATTGTTTTTTTGCTTCTGGGTCCATTAGAAATTGTTTGGGTGGTGGTATTTGACTTAATGAATATGAGTGAAAGGATAAAGTAATCAGTTAAGTTCAACTGTGTAGCACCAGTAAATTATCTATTAAAGGGATGTTGGATTTCTGATCTGCTGAATTCCAGAGCAGTGATTTTGGCAGGGATTCCTTTTGATGATTGAATAAAATTCTCCTTTACCTCCTTTATTACTTAATTAATATTCTAAAGATCTGTTTATAGAGGGGGAGACAGAAATTTGTCTTCATTTTCCTAAAAATAAAACCATGTACAGTTTTTTTCACATTTTTAAAGATTGTCTGCTCTATTTCCTCATTTCTGTATTGATTACACTATCTCCGTTAGCTATTGTGAAATGTGCAAATCTGCAGTACTTCATTTTGACTTCATTTTGGAAGTGTTCTGCTTGCTTTCCCCTACC